GGTTAGTTCTTGTCAAATCTTGCTTCTGCATTTAATGGGAAAGTTCCACGCCTACCCCACCCAAGTAGACTTCCTAAATGGCTGGAGGCAATTCCCAAGGTGGGTCTTACTGCTGATCCTTCTTCTCCGGTGATGTAAGTACTACATAGACTGATACAATGGACTAATGCTTCATATATTGGATTTAGTAAATCCACATGCTTCCACCACAAAGATAACCGTCTGTTTGACCTTACAGAACTGTGAAGAAAAAATGAACTCGAACAGTATATGTAAAGGCTACAGAGAACTGAGGAGTGCCAGTAAGTCAGATGAGATGAAGAAATAGTAGAAAGATGCTGGCCAGAGCCAGCAAACTTAATGCAACACCTGGAACATTTTCCAGGTGACCCTGGAAAACACACATGTTGATTCTCGTCTCTCAGTCATCACCTACAGTGCAGCATGTACTCCGCTTTGTGGCATCCTGATTTCGCCTAATGCATTACAGTCCCAGTTCCGCCCAACAATCCCCGAAGCCGGCAGTGCCATTCGAATTTTACAGCTCCGCCCTGATTCTAACATGACTGTCATTTGTAAGATGATTGGCAGGGACCAGCTTTAAGGTTTATGACCTACATGATGAACAGCACTGCCTTTTTACCTTTCAGCACAAATCCCAACATACACATGAAGGTAAATGCTGTGCCCTCAAACCATCACTATCACTTAGCTGGTAATGGAGACCATCACCATCAAACTCCTTACAGACCTGATTTTAAACTTGCTTTGGCTTAATGCTAAGGAGTTGCATCCCAAACCAAAAAATGTTTATAGTTTGAATCCACCAGCTGTTGTGCAGGAGAAAGATGGGCAATCTTTTCCCGTGTGCTTGACTGCCTCTGAAAATCCACTGGAGGGTCTGCGGTAGCTTGGTCCTGACTCGATGGCTAACAACAATTTGAAAGGACATATAAGAAAACAGTAAATGCAACAATGAATGAACAAAAAATCTAACTTCTCTATAAACGTTTGTTAAAGTCGCAATGAAATACTATGCTGCATTGAAAAACAAGGAACTCATGCAATATTATTCAAAATGGTTGACTCTGGAGAACATTATGCTGAGCGAAATATCCCGGTCACAAAAGGACAAATATTACATGATGCAACTGTTGTAGAATGGGACTAACCTCGGGGTTGGGGAGAGACTGAGTAAGATGGGTTCAATAATGTATACTGCACTGAAACAGAGGAGGGAGAAAACTGTTTAAAAGAGATATGTGACTAGGTATTTCTGTCATCACAGGAGTCTAGAGCGATGGCTACATGGTGGAGGGGACCTGGGGGAGGGCTTGTAAAACAATGAAAGAATCTTTTCTTTTACTTTTCCATAATTTTTGACTCATGTACTTATAACTTGTTAGTTAAATTTGTGTCTTCTAGGTTGCAACACCCCCATGATACATCTTCAAGGATATGAACATGTACGGCTAAGCACAATCAATAACAGTGCATCTAAATTCCAAAATCAATCTCCATAATAGTCTATGTGTTTCCTACTGCCAAAGGGGCCCTTTAGAGTAGTGAGAGAAGATCTTCACCCTGAAACCCACAGCATCCCTTTTCAGCAGGAAGTAGCTAAGACAATATGCCATCCCCTTTTCCTTATGAATCAGGGTGAAGTCTCTCTCAGGGAGGAGTGATAGGGAATGGCAAAGGACACACTGACAAAGGAGATTAATCAGAACTGACTTTGACAAGCACTGTGGCAATTGGAGAATTAAAACAGACATTTGGATGGCGGGGGAAGAAGAACAAACTGGGGAGGAGGGTAGAGAGAATGGTGTAGCAATGAAGGAATGAAAACCCAAAATCCCTGTAAATGTTCATTAAAACTAATAAAATTTAATAACAATTAAAAAAAAAAACCAAAAAACCAAACAATAAATATATCAACAGAAAAAAACACACAAAAAAAAACCAAAAAAAGTCACAATGAAAATAAAATTTTATTTGAAAAAATAAAAAGACAGTAAAAAAAAAGGATGCGTAAAAACTTAACACTACTTTCCTAAATCCAACTAGTTTCTCAGCTTCAGTACTGCATGTATACCACAAAGAGTTGTCTCTTCTCAAACAGTCCATTTCAACTGCTGGACTACACTCAGATCCAAAAAGTCTCACTATATTTAGTTTCTTGGTCTTAGTAAAAAATGAGGGACTCATTTTGACCATCAATCTTATTAATCAAACCTAGTATCATAATGAAGTTTATATTTTATTTCCAGATGTACAGGCTGGATTTAGAAGAGGTCGTGGTACTAGGGAACTTATAGCTAATGCCAGATGGATCTTGGCAGAAAGCAAAGAATACCAGAAGCCTGTCTATCTGTGCTTCATTGACTATGCAAAGGCTTTTGACTGTGTGGATCACACAAGCTGTGGCTGACTCTGAGAAAATGGGAATCCCAGAACATTTGATTGTGCTAAGGTGAAACCTATACTTGGACCAAGAGGCAGTCGACAGAACAGAGCAAAGAGACACTACATGGTTCAAAATCAAGAAGGAGTCCATCAGGGATGTATTCTGTATCTATACCTTTTCAAGCTGTACACAGAACACATCATCTGAGATGCTGGGCTGTACAAGGAGGGATGTGGCATCAGGATTGGTGGAAGAGTCATCAACAACCTGCGTTATGCAGATGACACAACCCTGCTTGCTGAAACTGAGGAGGACCTGAAGCGCTTGCTGCAGAAGGTCAGGGACTATAGCCTCCTATATGAATTGAAGCTCAACATCAAGAAAACAAAGATTCTCACCACTGGGCCAATTGGCAGCATCAGCATGGATGGTGAAGAAATTGAGATAGTTAACAGTTTTAGTTTGCTTGGTTCCAGAATCAACACTCTTGGTAACAGCAGCCAGGAAGTCAAGAGATGAATTGCATTGGGAAAGTCAACTGTGAGGGACCTCTCAAGAGTACTGAAGTGCAACGACATCAGACTGGAGACTAAGGTGCGTCTGATCCGGGCTATAGTCTTCGCAATTACGTGCTATGCATCAGAGAGCTGGAAAGTGAGTAGGGTTGATAAAAAGAGAATTGATGGCTTTGAGCTTTGGTGCTGGAGAAGAGTGTTGAATATTCCAGGGACTGCTAGGAGAACAAACAGGTTTGTCCTGGAGAAGGTGAAGCCAGAGTGCTCCTTGGAGTCAAGGATTCTGAAGCTTCATCTGACATACTTTGGGCATGTTGTAAGGAGGGACTAGTCCTTGGAGAGGAACATCATGTTTGGCAGAGTGGAGGGGCAGCGAAGAGGAGGAAGACCTTTGATGAGATGGACTGACTCTGTGACTGGAGCGGTGGGAATAAGTGCGTTTGAGATGGCTAGGTTGGCACAGGATAGAACCGCGTTTAGAGCTCTTGTACATAGGGTCCCTGTGAGTCACAAACAACTCAATGGCACATAACAACAACAAAAAACAACATGATTAATTTCCATTAATGACACCCATCAAGATCAAAACCAGCTCATTTGAAATAAACAAACAAAAACCCAAACGTGTGCAACCATGGCTATCCTTGGAAAAAAAACATCACTCTCAGAAAAAAGGAGAGTCCGTGAAGGAAAGTGAGACCCTCAGCGAGTTGGACCAGCACAGTGGCTGCGACAACAGAATTAAATGTTGTAGGGATTTTGAGGATGGCACAGGATCCAGCAGGGTTTTGTCCTTCTGTAAATAGGGGCCTCAAACACCACAGCCAACTCAATGGCACTTAACAACCACACAGCAACTGCAAAGTGGCCCAGATGCTGGCACCATGCCTGAACCACTCCTGCAACTTCCTTACAAAAGAGTATGTTCAAAGCTCGCAGATAGAAGCTTTCGCTGTTCTACAACCAGGAGGTTCTCTCTACTCTCTGGGGCCAATGTTCTCTCCCACCGGATCAATTTCTTTGCTGCTCTGAGAGTGGCAGCAAGGAAACAGGAAATTAACAAAGCAAAAACTTTCAAATTCATGTCTTGTTTCGATGCTGTCTGTATGAGCACAGGTAGAACTTAGCTAATGCTGACATTTCACCTCCTTTTGCCGGATTAACAGCAACTCATGGAAAATGCACACAGAACAAGGTGTACAGATGTCAATGACATCGAGGCAGGATCAGTTAATACTGAACCCTCAGACGTAGACTATAGTTGAGGACAAAACAGGAAGAGAGAGTGATTGCATGCATAAATACTTTAGAAGGCTAGGGTTTAAATTTGAAGGCTGTGCACTGCAATCCCAGAGGAACACGGTTCAAGTCCACCAGATGCTCTGCCGGAGAAGGAGGCGCAATATCCTCCTGTACCAGTCAGATCTGATTTGACGGTACACGCACACAAAATTAAAAAAAAAAATGTGAAGGCTGTAACTGATTAACTTCAGGATGCTATGTTAATAATGATCATGTGGGAATAATCAAGAGAAATGCATGGTTATCAATGTTGCTGTGTACCGTCGAGTTGGAATCAATAGCTGACCCTCTGGTGTGTTTTCAGAGGCAATTAATCACATGGGAGGAGATTTCCCATCCTTCTCCCATGGAGCAACTGGTGGCCTCGAACCACATGCCTTTAGGATTGAAGCACAGCTTCTTGCCCCTAGGCTACCAGAGCTTCCAAGTATCACCAGAGTATCCTATTTTAAGTATCCTTAAAATAGTTAACTTATATGTCTACATCCAACACAGGCGTAGAAGTTTAAATGTTGGCATGTTAGCCAAAAGGTGAGCAACCTGAACCATCAGACACTGGTTGGGAGAAGGATGGACAGTGTCCTCTGGTTAAGATTAACCCTTGGAGGCCAGATGGAGGGTGATCAGGAGCGGGAACGGACTTGATGAACATGTGTTGTCTTAGTGTGTGCATGCGTGTGACATAAGCCTACACTAGGTCTCATCTGATTCACTTCACAGCAAAGATAAGTGAAGATCAGGAGGCCTGTTCAGCATCAAAACGACAGCGGACCAACCTTGTAGCTTCTGGTTCTCCTTCTCCATCCTGAGTAGCAGGATCTGCTGCAGAATGGCCTTCCGCCACAGCTCCCGCAGCTCCCGGGGACTCCTCTTCTCCTCTGGTGAGGGGCCAAAGGGCCCATCCTCACAAACTGGCTCTAAAGGCGACCGTGGGGGGACTTCTCCCAGCTCAGAGTAATCTGGAGGGGAAAGGGACATTTGGAAATGGTCATATTTCTAAGAAAAGTTCACCAGCAGACTCTGCTTATTTAGATACTCTATCACCAAACGTTTGGAAGCAGGGATGGCATCCACTTCCTAAATAACACGCCTCCAGAAACTCTATGAACCTTGATAAACGTCGATAGTTGTAGAAGGGCTTCATGTCATTATGAGAGGAGCTCGACTAGAAGGCAAGCAACAACAAAACATGACTGTGGGAGAATAAACGGGAGAGGGTGAAACTAAGCTGCTCCCTGAAGGCAAGGATTTGGAAGCTCCGTCTCACAGACTTTGAGTACATGGCCAGGAGGGGCCATTCCCTGGAGAGGGACAGCATGCTTGGAAGGATGGAAGGACAGCACAGGAGAGGAAGACTCGGGATGAGATGGATTGACTCAGCAGTTAGGTCTGTCAGAGACACTGAGTCATCAGGATATGACCGAGTTCAGAGCTAATATAGAAAGGGTTGCTATGAGTCGTAGGTGACTTGACAGCACATAACAACAACATCACCAAACTTGAAAATCAATTGCTAGCATCTAAGAATAAACTATGTTGGAATCACACATTTAAATCAAATATAGTAAGGACAATTTACAGTATCTTGAGAAAACATTCAGAACGTTTTGAAGATAGAATGGTTTTCTGAGTTTAAAACCATATCGTTAAATAGCAGCAAACATACCAAACTATTCTAAGAGCTTTGTGTTTCCTAAGTTACTGAATACTTACACGATCATCCTATCAAGTGGGTGTTCTAACTACATTTCAGACAGATGCAAACTAAGAAAAGGGAGCAGAAGTAACTTGACCAGGGTCTCAAAGTGAGAAAGGAGGGGAGCATGGACTGAGCCCCAGCTTGGCCTTCATGTGCATTTGTAACCACTAAGGGAGCTCTGATGGCCTAGCAGGTAAGGAGGTGCACTGCTAACCCCAATACAGACAGTTCAAATCCACCAGCTGCTCCATGGGAGAGAGCTGAGCACCTCCTGTGAGATTTACAGACTCTAAAAAATCATTGTAATTGTCATCACAATTACATGCTCTGCATCAGAGAGCTGGACAATGACTAAGAATAACAGAAAAATTGATGCCTTTGAGTTGTGGTGCTGAAGAAGAGCCTTGAACATAGCATAGACTGCCAGGAGAACACATAGGTCTGTCTTGGAGAAGATAAAACCAATTACTCCTTGGAGGCAAGAATTTTGAAGCTCCACTCACATACTTTGGGCACATGGCCAGGAGGGACCGATCCTTGGAGAAGGACATCATACTTGGAAGGGTAGAAGGACAGCATAGAAGAGGAAGACCCAGGATGAGCTGGATTGATACAGGAACTAGGGCAATGGGGGTAGGTGTGTCAGAGTTAGTGAGACTGGCTCAGGATTGGGCAGACTTGAGAACTGTTGTACATCGTGTTGCTATGAGTTGCAGGTGACTGACTTGATGGCACATAACAACAACAATAGCCAGGAAATAAGTACTTTAGCTAGCTTCTTTTTAAAAATTACTAAAGATTCTCATCACTGGGCCAACTGGCAGCACCATGATGGATGGAAAAGAGATTGAGGTTATTAACAGTTACAGCTTACTTGGCTCCACAATCAATACTCTGGGCACCAGCAGCCAGGAAATCAAAAGATGAATTATATTATGTAAATCTGCCATCAGGGACCTTTCTAGAGTACTGAGAAGTAATCAATGATGTCAGTCTAGAGACTAAGGTGAGCCTGATCCATGCCACGGTCTTCACAATTACTTGCTATGCATCAGACAATGACTAAGGATGACAGAAGAAGAACCGATGCCTTTGACTTGTGGTGCTGAAGAGTCCTGAGCATACCATGGGCCACCAAGAAAATAAAAAGGTCTTGGAGAGGGTGAAACCAAGTTTCCCCTTGGAGGCTAGGATTGTGAAGCTCTGTCTCACATACCTTGGACATGTGGCCAGGAGGGACCAGTCCTTGGAGAAAGATATCATCCTCAGAAGGGTGAAGGGAGAGTGCAGAAGAGGAAGACCGCAGCAGAGATGGATACAGTAACTGGGGCAATGGGGGTAGGTGTGCTGGAGTCAGTGAGACTGGCTCAGGACAGGACGGGCTTCAGAGCTGTTGTACACAGGGTCACTATGAGTCTCAGGCAACTCACCAGCACATAAAAACCACCACCACCACTATGTAACTAGGCTCCTCAGGGAATGCTGGTGGCCTAGACGGCAGGGGTTTTACTGCCAACCTAACGGCAGTTTGGAATCCACCAGCTGCTCCAAAATAGGGATACTCTCCTCCATTGTGATCTGAGCTTTTGAAAACCTGCCGGAAGGTCAACTGTGAATTCATTCCAACTCACCAGCAATGAGTTTTGGAGACTAGTCTTAGTGTGAACAAAAAGAGAATTATTTTTATCAGTTCTTAGTCAATAGTAAATGATAAAATCCCTAACTATTATCCCGTAAAATAAATTTAGGTGAAGGAATTACACTTTCACCTCTTTCCAGGACTGAGGATTTGTTTTACAAAGGTTACCTTTAGACCCACATTCTCGAGATGCTCTGTGTCATGCTGTTGTGCCTCTAAGTTGGAACCAATCCAGGCATACCTTAGCCCTGATCATGTCTTTTCCTGTCTAGATCAGTTAAAATTAGCTATTTTCCAGTTTATACAAAATTATCCAGATTTGGTACAAATCTTGAGCTTTGTAATCAATCCTCTTCTGGGGGAGGAGGAAAGAGGACTGAGTGGGGTGGCAGAGAAGGACAAAAAGGTGACAATATTGGTCAACTATTAATTGAGGGCCTCTCTTTAAGAGTAAGTATATGCACTATTTTATGGGAGCTCTGGTGTCTATCTCTTCTTATGCAATGGACCCTCTGGACGCTCAGCTATGAATCAGCTTCAACTCAAGGGAAATGAGTTTTAGGTTTTTTAGCATGATTTTAAGTTGGGTAATTCCAAAGCAGAGCAGGGCAACACTGTATGGTTCAAAATTGAGAAGGGGTACGTCAGGGATGTGTCCTATCTCCATACCTTTTCAACCTGTATGCAGAGCAGATTATCCAAGAGGCTGAGCTCTATGAGGAGACGCATGGCGTCAGGATTGGTGGAAGATCTATCAACAATCTGCATTATGCAGATGACACAACCCTGCTCGTTGAAACTGAGGAGGACCTCATGCACTTAATGCAGAGGGTCAAGGACTGCAATGAGGCTCAATGTCAAGAAGACAAAGATTCTCACCATTGGACCAATCAGTAGCATCAGGATGGATGGCGAAGAGATTGAGATTGTTCACAGCTTCAGTTTGCTCAGCTCCACGGTCAACACTCTTGGCACCAGTAGCCAGGAAATAAAAAAATGTATTGTGATGGGAAAGTCTGCTGTTAGGGACCTCTCTAAAGTACTCAAGAGCAACGGTGTCTCTCTGGAGACTAAGGTGCGCCTGATACAGGCCATGGTTTTTGCAATCACTTGTTATGCATCAGAGAGTTGGACAATGACTAGGGAGGACAGAAGGAGAATTGACACCTTTGAGCTGTGGTGCTGGAGAAGAGTATTGAATGTACCATGGACTGCCAAGAAAACAAACAGATTCATCCTAGAGAGGGTTAAACCAGGCTACTCCTTGGAAGCAAGGATTCTGGGGCTTCGTCTGACATACTTTGGACATGCTGTAAGGAGAGACAGGTCCTTGGAGAGGGACATCATGCTGGGTAGAGTAGAGGGACAGCGCAGGAGGGGAAGACCCTCTATGAGGTGGATTGATTCAGTGACTGGGGTAATAGGGATGGGTGTGTCAGAGACAGTGCGATTGGCACAGGATAGAGCAGAGTTTAGGGCTGTTGTACATAGGGTCGCTATGAGGCTATGAGTCGCAAATGACTCGATGACACATAACAATTCCAAAGCCAAACACACCAATATTTACCGAGACTCTTAGTCAACACACCCAACAAAAGACTTGTTGCTCTAAGAAGGGCTACTTTGCTGTTCCTATCCACCCCCCCCCCCAACCCCCAACAATCTTTTGGCTCTGGTTTCTTTCACTGGCTCATGTCTTCACTGAGAGGCCAATATTGGGCAGTGTGATTCCAAAAGGCTGAGCTGGGACTGGGGGACCCACACCACCCCCGGGCCAGTGTGGACTGCATCTCCCTGTAAGCATCGTGCCTTTTGGGTTCTGACCTGTCATACAAATAACCCTCATCCACAATGCCACCAAACGACGAGGCAAACAGGCGCCGTCAGACGTGTTTATAAAGTCTGCAAAACCACAAAACCAGAGCCCATCAGTCTAAGATTAGATGTCATTATTCTCACATCTCCTATAATGACAGGGTGCTGAACGTTAAATTAAATTATGCAGAACTTCAGAAACAACAAACTGCAGTGGGCTGGATGGATTTTTAAAAGCAGTCATAATTCCGGGGCCCTGAGAGACAACTGCTCCATTTAAATCATTACTGTGACATCCCCAGTAGAGTCTTAAGGATGATCTACGTAGGGCTGTCAATATTTCTGATGCCAAATTATTCTCCATCAAAGCAGCCCCTGAATTCTCCTCTCCCCCTGCACATTCACGTGCAAGCTACGTGTGATGCTGCATCGTGGGCATGAAAGGGATCAATGCTGCAGTTGCACCAGAGAAAAAGTGAATCCAGGCTTCCTATTTATCTGCTACCTGTCACCATTAAGCGCTGAATACAGGACTCCTTTTCTGTACTCTCGCAAAGCACTGGCATTAAATTCTCAAGTGCAGTTCTCTTGCTTTTATAGACTTGACATTAAATCACAAGCTAAGTGCCCTGTAAGAGAGAGATCTGAGTAGAAAAATAACACAGTGCGAATTCTCCAATATTCTGGCTTTCTCTGTCACATCGTAAGACAGTTTTAGAATCCTCTCCATCCTTCTCAAAACCCCAGCACTTTCATTTCTAAAGAAAAGGACATGGTTGAAATTCCAGCCTATCTGAAACCTCAGG